AGTGAGCTAGATCCTTGGCTGCAGAATTAATCCAACCAATGTCACTGTCAACACAAGGTAGTTTTTGTTTTCAATGTAGTTTTCATGGATCCTATGCACAAAGTTTCAGGATCTGACAGGACCCTTATTCCATACTGGATTGTGTCATTGCCAATTGCTACACACTGCTCTGTTTGCTGTTGGACTTTGAAACCTAGGAAGGATATTGTTTGCTATAGCAAGTACTGGTATTGAGAGGAAACATGTCAATGGAGATGCAAAGTGTAGTTTTTGCATGCCTAACAGTTTGTTTGCCTGACAATTTCCTTCTCTAACACATTTGTCAATGAGAAGAATAATTTTTAGGTTGAGGCTGAGAAATGAATTCCAAACTGTTGCCATTTAACTATGACCTATGGTACATTTGACATTCATTCTCCTAGTGATATACTGAAGTACTGCTGCTCTGAATTGGCACCAGTTGACATTCACCAATTAAAAGCCTGTTGAGTAGTCCATTCTGCAAGAGTATAAAATGCATTGCTTCTGCCAGTGTACATTAAGTACACATGGGTTAGCATGGAGTTATGTTCTCGTAGTGTAAGATTATTCGGTTCCCCTATCATGCCTCAAGCAGAGTGAAAAAAAAAGTTTCACTTGAACTCTCTTCTCAATAGGTCAAAAAATCAAATTTCATGTCAATTATGAAGGTGGTCACATTTCCCACCTCTGCAATCACTCTGGAGTGGTGGATACCTAGAGGCATCAGTCTGTCTGCCTCAAATACATTATCTGAGTTTGTCTGAATCCACAAGTAGGATGTGGTAGACTGTGTGCAGAACCATGAAGACTTCTTCAAATAGGCCACACAGTTATAGTGTTCTTTCAGGTGAGCCACAAATTCACTGAATCTTTCAATTGAAAGTTGTTTCTTCCTCTTTGAAAGCTGCACACATGAATAGGGGGAAAGGGGTGAAAATGAAAACAAGTCATGATACACTCCAGAAACTTAGCAAACCAATGAATGCTCTGGAGGAATGCTTTACACATTGTCTTCTTTTCAGGTGATGTAAAGGCATCCTTCTTGTTATTTCAGGAATAGGAGAAGAGAGAAAGGATATGGATCTGCGGGAGGCTACTTCTTTGCCGAGGCAAACAATCACGTAAGGCTTTTATATTAACATTCCAAGTGTCATGAACAGAGATGGGATTTGAAGGCAACTGTCAAATTACCATTATGGATGCCTTAAAAATCCCATGTCACATTTTTAGACTGCCTAAGAATGCATGGTTCTATTGTAGGTGCTTATATCCTGCATGCATTAGTTATAATTTTTTCCTCTTAGTGCCTTTTCCTTGATGCTATTTTTCACTTCAATCATTTTACACTTGTTCATAAGTGTACTTTATTACTCAAGTTTTATTATTCATGTCTTGCGAGAGAACCAAGTTTCTGGTGTAAAATAATCTGGCTACTGCTATTAAATCGGCATCAGAGACAATCTGCCCCTGGACCCGCTTACCAAGGGCCTCGAGTGGACCCCCAAGAGTTCTCCGGTTTAATTTTGCCCCAGGCCCCTCTGGATACCTCTGGGCGGCCTTGGTTGCGTGCAGTGGTCTGTGAACACGGGTCATACAGGTGTTTCTCAACGATGTGTGACACCAAAAGACCAACTTCTTTTGCAGACAATCCAGTTGACGTGATTTTGATGAAACACCTTGAGTCGGATGGAAATGGAAACAAAATCAAGTCAATGCAGAATGAGGCGTACACTAATGATCATTGGTACACGCCATTTTTCTCGCCCAACCTGGTCATGCAGTGCATGACCTGCTTGGCCCAACCGCACGCCACTGTTTTTGGGGTTTTCCTATGAGAGCAAAACTGAGACACGTTAATTACCGGGTGCGTGGAAAGTTCTGCAACCAAAATTTTCGAAATTAAAAAAAAAATTAAGTTCACAAAATCATCGGTTGAAATAAATATTTAAAAAAAAACATGATAAAAGAGACAAATTAGGACACTGGAAAAACAAGTCACTAAAGTGATAAATTTCAATAAATAAGAAATTATTCAAAAATATTTGGTTGCAGAACTTTCCACGCACCCTGTAGAATCTTGAGATCGTGATCGAATTTCGTCTACGAACAAACTTTCTTCGAAATCTCGGTATTGAAGGTCAAGAATGAAGTGGAAGCATTTGGGAACGAAAATAGCAATGCAGGGGTGTCAAACTGGCGGCCCGCTGGCAGGATCCGGCCTGCCAATCCATTTTGTCCGGCCCGCGAAGTCCTCTTCAACAGTTGGTCATGGAAACGAGCTGCAAATTTCAGCCTCTTTGCATTAAAGATAAGGTGTTACATTTTTGTTGCCGCCCCAAATCACCTCTGAAGGCTTCCATCCGGCCCCTGGACTAGAGCATACCCTGATCAAGAGTTGATTCTAGGCGCAAGTTTGAGACTTCTGTGAACTCCAACGTGACATTCGTTCGAGGGGAATGGGAAGCAAGAATTGATTATTCAAGCAAAGTAAACGTAATTGATTGCAGGAGAAGCCTGAAATTCAGCCTACAATCAAGTCTACTGCGAAAAAAATGATCGTACTGTATCTTTCGGAATCCCCTTGCAGGAGATTCGTAATTGTCAGAATTCTGGAGTTGAAGAACGTCGACAAAAGAATGGGTGAAAAGTGCATTAAGTGACGGCAAAACGATATGTATTCGTTCTTAGGGATAGAGGGGTTGCGTCAGGACATACACGGTTTCGGTAATGAAATGTCATGTTTGGCGTTTCGAAGGAAGCATCCTCGCCATTACTCTCCAACATGAAACTGAAACTGGGATATGGCGATTGGAATCTCGAGATCGTCAGCGCGATCTGGAATTCGTTGGCGGACATGCTTTCCTCAAAAACTTAGTATTGGAATGCAGAAATGAAGCAGTAGATGTGAGTAAATACAGAGCTTCACTTAGAGAATGTTCCACTGTAGAGTGGATTGCAAGTGAAAATTCGACCCTATTAATGGGAGATTGTTATGGGACGTTCTTAGAAGGCGAAAAGGGATAGATTTTCATTTCCCAATTATACACATCCCTAGCGTGAGATCTCTCAACCTACGTCGACGCGTCAAAATATGCTTGTGATTTCACATCAGTTTCCTTTTTTTTCCCGATCCGGCTGTAAAGTGCGCCTAAGAATCGAATTTCATTTGTGTCGAAACCCAATTTCCTGGCTGAATTACAGTTTCCAATTATCTACTTTGTCTTCCAACTAACGAAATATAGGGAAAAACGCTGAATTGCAGATGCCAAATGCAGAAAATGATGAAAGTGAAAGCGCAAAGCCTGCCAAACACCTGCTTGCGGAAAATTCGTCCTGAACGGCGATTTCATATGCGCAGCCCCTTACCCCTTTTCATTATGAAAGAAAGGGGAAATCTTATCAAAAATGAATTACAGACCACATGCAAGGTATTACAGAAGTTCTGAAGCTCTCCGATGTCGGAAAACACTGCTCACGATGAATAGCTTAATTCATTTTTGCCAAGTGTGAGTAGATTTCGGCCACAAATTGTGCAGCAGGTCCCGCAATGTCTGCCATTTCATTACCTTTTCATTCTTGTGACAGTGATCCGACTGAAGAGCTCGCTTTATTGGCTTTTCCCATCGTAAACAGTTTTCAGCGCTAATTTCTGTCGCCGTTCTTTCATTTTCTGTCTTCCACATAACGAAATACAAGGAGAAATGCCGAAAATGATGCTTCCTTTCGGGAACTCTGCCGAACGCCATCTCCACGCTGAAAGTTCAGAACGCAGATTTCTCATGAGCAGTGCCTATATTCCCTTACGTTTTGAAAAACGAGGGAAAGTGAATTACAAACTATCTAAAAACAAGTTGCTAGAGGTATATTAGTAAGGTTGGCTATCGACCTAGTTCCCGTAAAAGTTGAGACTTTCATATTTGTCTATGGCTTGAGTGATGTTACCACTTGAGTACTACCACCGCACCACTTTGGTGCACTGGATTTTGCTAATCTACTCTGGCAGTTGAATTGTCAGAGTAACACTAATGGGAAAATAATTCATCAGTTTTGGGAGAAGTATTTGAATGAATGCAAATTGATGGCTTGAATAATTCGTAAAAAAAAATCCCTTAATGCTACTACAGTGTAATGTACTACAACTTATTCAGCAATGAGTTCCAATAGTAGAATTTGGCGTATACATCTCAGAACTGTTTAAGGAAGTAATTCCCAATAAATTTTTTCTTGGATACTTTTGTGGAAAATGTGACTTTATTCAGTGTATGCATTCTTCTGTTACAGCAAAGAGGATATACATCGGCGAGGAAATAGAGGACTTGCAATGTTGAGAGAGTGCATGCAGATGTGCACCATAAAGAAATATGGAGTTCCTCTTGTAGACACAATACAAGAATTATTCCCTGACATTTTGGGCATTCCCACCGATGCAAGGCGAGAACTGCCTGTTCACGAATCACGTGCTACCACCGCTGCATCTCGTGCAAGAGGCTTTGATAGCTGGCCCTCTAGGATCATCCAACAGAAAAGTCCATCGCCAATTTCACCGATTAATATAGTTGCCTCACACCCAAAAGGAATCAAGGCATCCCGCCCTACCAAACTTCCATCGAGTAAGACCTATCATCTCTTTCCGGGGCCTTCTGCTCTCCCCCAGCCTCCAGCTTCTCCAAAGAAGAGAAAGTCTTCATCAGTGGTGTCCCATTGGGAGGAGGACAAGAAGAGAAAGGTGGAGGGCACAACTGACAGTTCAAGTGTTCAACAAAAAGGGAAGGAGGAGGTAGAGAATAGGCTGAAAGAAGAGGTAGAGAAAATGCTGAAAGAGGAGGAAGAGAAAAGAAAGAAAGAGGAGGAAGAGAAAAGGAAGAAAGAGGAGGAAGAGAAAAGGAAGTCTCCGACAGGCAGCGAGCTGCCACTGATAACGACTCCATTTCGTCTAAGACGTGCCGACTGTCTCATGGGCAGTGTCGACTGCAGCTATAATGGGAACAGTATGTAACAAGACCACCCTGCTTAATGAGGAGGAAGAGAAAAGGAAGAAAGAGGAGGAAGAGAAAAGGAAGAAAGAGGAGGAAGAGAAAAGGAAGAAAGAGGAGGAAGAGAAAAGGAAGAAAGAGGAAGAGGAGAAAAGGAAGAGAGAAGTGGTAGGGAAAAGGAAGAAAGAGGCTGAGAAAAGGGAGGAAGAAGAGAAAAAGAAAAGAAAAAGGGAAGAGGCCGTGAAAAGAAAGGAGATAGTGAAAAAGGAGCAGTTAGAGAAGAGAAAGGAGAAAGAAAAGAGAAAGAACCGCAAAAAGAAAAAACATCAAGAGAAGGAAGCAAGGTGTGAGAAGAAAAAGAAGTCAGGCTGTGAAGCCAAGTCGCCATCAAAACGATGTGTGGTAGATGCAGATTCTGGGGATGAAACAGAACCAGTCATCAAGAGAATCAGTGGGCTAAAGAAATGCAAGCATCCCTTCAAAAGAATACGTGTGGTCCCTCCAATATCTGATGAGTCAGATGATGAACCTTCACCAAACCAAGATCTGCGTGTGCCGCCAATTGGGCAGCTGACTCCTCCCCAAACACCTGAGGATGCCCGTATTCCACCTCTTGAGGTCAAATATGAACAAGGATCAAAATCACCAATCCAGGCTTTATTGACTACCAGCCTTCCTTCCTGGGTTCCTTCCATTGAAGAGGAGCTTGAGAGGCTCCATGGAGACACAGATCTCGATGTGGATTGTGAACAGAGGCATGGTGTTGTGACAGATGCAGAAGCAACAGTTCCATCAGACACTAAGACAGAAGAAGAAAGTGGTAAGATGATAGAAGATGAGAGGGAGACAGTCTTCACAGAAACTCTGTCATCTGTGACTACGACTGAAGTGCCAGAAACTGTCCTGCCATCTGTGACCATGGCAGAAGTGCCAGAAACTGTCCTGCCATCTGTGACCACGACTGAAGTGCCAGAAGAAACCATTTGTGATGTCAAACCATCTTTGAAAGAAGTACAAGTTTCCTCTGGTCCACAGCTTAATGAAGTATGTCCTCAAGCATCACCTTCTGTGACCTCACAGCCCCTTATCCCTCCCAAGCAAGAGGTGAAAGACAGCATGGATTCAACCTCCATTCAGGGAACTTGTACTTCCCTCACCACTGAAGCTCTCACCAATGCTCCCAAGAAGGAGCGCTTGGAGACTTCTGGAATATTGCAACAAGTAGCCTTCCCCAGAACTCACAACGATGACGATGAGATACAATTCATCGGGATTGTTGATAAGGAAAAGAAACCTTTAACAGCCAAGGAATCCATCATGCTGCAGATCATGCATTTACCTCCAGAAGAAAGGGAGGAGATCATGATGGAACTGAAACAAGAGCCTGCTGTGACACACCGAGTTACTTCCTCTCCAGGAACATCGACTGTGCGGATTCTGAAAAGTCCACCTGGCATGCCAGGGATGATACCAATAAAGTCTATCAAACAATCCGTAATCTGCTCAAATGATCAGCTTGTGCAACATGAGAGGCCTCCACCAGATGCTGCCATACAGATACAGCCCATGTCTTCATGGACATTGTCAAACTTTATCTCTTCTCCAGCTCCTCGACACGAAAGCATTATCTACCACGTACCTGCCGGTGGAGTATCCATAACTGGACATGATTATCACCCATACCAGCCTAGTGAACAAAATATTGGCCAGCCCCAACCATCTCCACACCCTGGTATTCATCTGGCTGAAGTTCCAGCAGAACCACTCCCACTGGTAAAGCATCAAATTCCTCAAGATTTACTTACTACTTAAGACTTACTCTGTCAATGCCGTATTTACGACGAACAGAACTTTTTTTTTCACAAACCTGTTTTTTTTTCAGGAGGCATGTTTGGTGTGTCAGGCACCAACCGACCAATGTTGTCCACTTTGTAGATCTGCGTTTTACTGCTCTCGTCCGTGCCAGGTACGTAGCATGTTTCATTACTGCAAGGTGTTTCCTCCCTTAAACTTGAATCAATTCATAGGATATCGCATCAAAAGTTTTTTTTGACATAACGATGGGAATGCAGTGCTAATATTCCCATTTAAGTTTTTCATACTAATTAACTGCTGCACTTGACATAACCTTTCATGTTAGTTTTGCTTCCCCGTACGTTATACCACATTTCAAAGTGAAATGTCTTGGGCTAAGTAGCGTGCGGATTTATAGAGACGCCTTTTACACGTTATTTGTACTGAAATCGGTTTTTTAGCTACAAATTTAATGTGCAACATTAGACATCATTTGAAAGTCGTATTGTTTCTTTTCATGGTAACTACTTCGCGTGGATGAGATATGAAAGGGATGTCGTTCATAACATCCACTTTATATGTTCCATATGATTCGTGTCGCATATATACCACACATCCACCTCTTTCCTACAGCACTAAGTCATGCTGCTTTACAACCACATTCTGGAATGCTGAAAAATACACACTACATACTACACTTATACACACTACGTTTTAATCGGTTGCCTGCTACGTTGTAACAATAAATCATTCAAAATTTTGCAGAAACCCAAACTTTCTCACTTGTCGAGATCCACGACTGATATTTCCTGTTTTTAGGGTTTGTATTGCACCAAACAGCGGTGGAAGGAAATATATCCGAAAGTGGCCTTTCTCACAATTGATAAAATTAATATCTTACTTACAATGAAAGTTCTTTCAACCCTTCAAGGGGTATCTCTTCCGAATGACCATGTTCACATTTTTTACCTGGAAATAGCTGTGACCTCCCATGGAGCAAACAACAATATTCAAGGTTTCAAGCCGAGTAACTTTTGACTTCAAAAAGATATCATGTTAGAACTGTTATGAATTTATTCTCCTTTGTGAAAGCTTTCCTTTGATACCACTCCCATCTTGATGTAGCCAAAAGTTATAAGATAGCCAAGATTTAAACAGAATGGCTGACTCCAAAAGTCCCTGTAGGTCCTCTACCTGCATGTTTCTCTGATATTTTTCTAAGCTTTTCAGTAAAGTATTATAATATAAAAAAACCAAAAAATCTGTATTGAGCAGTACTAAAATATGCGAATTTCCTGTCCTGCGTCATCTAGGAGTCGTTGACCTATTTATTTACCAATTAATATTCCGGACATGATGGGTAAACGAAAGTTCCAGAATTTACAGCCCATAACGAAATTCACTCCAAGGAAAATATTTCAACAGCAACTCTTTCTGTTCCGAGTCTGAACAAGAAAAACCTGAAAAATTTTCTATTTCATTAAAAGCTACCCTTGAAAAGTATTCCATCGGGAGGGGGGGGGGGCAATTTTTGATGGAACACTCACCGCGTTTTTACATGATGGTTCTCGTCGCATTCTGATCGTGAAGATTTCTAAGTAGTCTTTTCTTAAGCAAATTTCAGCAAGTTTCCTAAATGGTAGTAATGTGGTTGTAATGCTTTTGGAGAACGACTAATAAATTCGTCTAATCAGAAGCTGGAGTGATCGACAGTAGAACAGAAATGAAGTTCAGAAAATTATACAAGATTCAGCATCTAAAAAGTTAAAGCGCGGTGTAATTTAGTGCATCTTAAGTTTTGAAAAACCGCCACCCAGTTACTAATGTATTTGATTGATAGGTTCTCATTTGCTATCACATGTCGGAATTCGGAAGGTCTGCTGAATTCGTGTGAAGTGCCTGTTGAGATAAGCTTTCACTTTTTTCATGTTTTGTTATCAAAGCCTTCTGTCCGTTGGAATCAATAATTTCATTGGGTGAATCCCGAGACACGATGCTGTTTTCATGAGTAATGTTTGCTTAGCAAATTTGTACTTGAGAGTCATAGCCATTCAAATACAGCATAAAGTTAATAATTCAGCTACGAAGTTTCAATTAGTAATGGTTGTTGAATAACATGTTGCTGATATCCAGTTTGAATATTTTGTCTTTCGCAGGAAGACCATTGGGAAACTCATCAGCGGGAGTGTCAGGGACTGCTTGCAAGTACGAATGGTTCTGCTACCTGAGTGGGACCGAATACCGGTAACCGTTTCGAGATAATTTGTGCAATTTGTGTGTGTGTGTTTTCAAGAGGACACTTGTTTCAGCCTTGCTTTGGTGCTCGTCATGAAAGGCAATAACAAAATTTGTTTGCATTTTTAGATTGAAGGTGATGTGTGCTCACATGTGTCTTGAATAGACCAGAGAAATAGCCCTTGCCAGAAGAGAAAAGAAATGAGATAATACAGAATAAAGAAATCTCATACGTTCCTGGCGTATAAGACTGTTTTACTCCGGGATCTCTTCGAAGCGCCTTTCTCAATCTTGCCCTTAAGGAGGAAGGGCGGGTAGAGGAAGTGGGTGGGGACGAGTGAAAGGACATGAATAGTCAAAGCATTGTCAGAAACTTTTTTTTTTTACTGTAAGAAATACTGTAAATACCTGTCCCGAATGCAAATATTCCGTCTCCGTTGCCTCTCTGGAAGAAGTTGAGCCAGACTTTCACTCCGAAGATGGGAGTCAAGTCATTTGAACCAGGGTGTGGAGATAGGAACCCCAGTCGTGTTGGGGGAGGGGAGGTGGGGAAATGCCTTCTGCAATCTTGTTTGTGTGACGTGGAAAATTCGGGACATTATTCTCCCTGGGGCTGGAAACATGTTTATCTTGCTTTTCTCTTGATTCTCAAGGCCACTAGAGCAATAACGTGTGCTCGGAGAGAGTTGACGGGGTATCCTTGGTTTTTTATTTACATCCTTGTTGATACGAGGCATCACACATGGAAGAGCCAAGGCGAAGTATCGATATCGTGTTGTTTATATCTCCGAGAATGAATTCGGATGAGTAGTTTTGGACTCCAGAAGACAAGAAGAAAGGAATAACTTCTCGTGTACTTTGATCGAAGAAACTGGAAATGGGCTGGTCTGCATATACCAGAGTGATGAGGACAATCGAGGAAAGAGTTGGCGGCTAGTGTGACGAGGCGAAACCTAAGATTCCGAGTCGACCGTCTTCCCCGAGTCACGAGGACACTTCGGTCCAGGGACGAAGTGGCACAGAGGAACGCGGACCTAGCACTCGCGCATTTCAGGCAAACAAAAGATTATGGTGAGACCCCAGACACCATCGCCAGCATCGGCGATGCTTCTAGAAGAGCGACCGATCACGCGGAAAGAAAACGTTTCGCGGTTTCTGCCGACACGTTTACGCTTGAATCCGCTCTAACTTGACTTCTCCATAAGCCGAAATGGAAGACGACACAAGTGGTGGAAGCTCGGAAAGGGACGGAAAGTAAAAGAACGCGGATCGCCCCTTGTCTCGGAACTACGTCTGAAAAATCGAGGATCTCTTCGGCACGTTTTTCATTAGTCACGGAGACTATGAAAAATCAGAAAGAACACAACCGTTCAACGACGATTTCTACACCCCGAAATATCAATGAGCATTGTCTTCGGTTCGTACTCCGGGTTCGCTTCGATCGAAAACGAAACGTCCACTATTACCCGTCTGGGATTTCTCGTCATCCGGAGCCATACGGATCGCTAAAGAAGTCGAAAGACGTGCGGACTGCCAGTTGTGGACTGTGTGGACAGTGCAGACTGTGTGGACTGCCAGCACCCTCGGTACGACGCTGCCCTCTCGCACCAGAATGAACGTGGATGTCGCATGGATGTACCCGTCTGGCATGGTTAGTCGAAAAAAAGAGATTTATCCCCCTCATCTTCCTCCGTCATTTCATGACACGATTGTGAGACGTTTTTTGCTGACACTCGCATCGGAATAAATAAATTAATTAATTAAATCTCTGGAGATTCATTTGCAAGTACACGAGGACTACATATCTTTGAATAAATTCACCTCTTTTCGGTTGCATGAATCTCCCGATGGGCAGTGTTAACACGTCCGCCGTCCCCCGATGCGAAGCGATCCAAAAACCTCCCAAAACGAGTGGATGACACTTGGGAGGAAACTCTCGTCCTCGGCGTCTCCTTCAACGGTTCTGGCACCGGCGTTTCGAGTGTCACCGTCGTTTCTATAGGTGGAATGAGCCGTTTCCGCTCGAGAGCCGGATGCTTTCGAGGCTCTGACCGATCGGGCGAACAGATGCAGCATCCCCACTTTCTCCAGCGGAGCGTCTTCTTTCTGCTACTTCTTTCTTGCTATGGTTTGGCGCACCCACTACGATTGTTACGATTCTCGGCCGCTTCGATGATTCGCTTCCAAGAAATGTAAGATCTTTACCAAATGCGAAACGATACCCTCATGCCATTACCGGTCCATTCTTGTGCCCGCGCGAAATTTTTGCTCGATCACTGTTAACGTATTGACATCGTTCAGGCCTATTTACGATAGCCCTCACAGTTCTACTATCTTCGAGAGGATGATCCCACTATTTTCAGTCCAGCGAAGACAACACAACACATCCTCTTTACTTCTCAGAGAGAAAAATGGACTTGGGGCCAGGTTACGGTTTAAAATTTCAGTCGTCCCACATCCCACGTCCACCTCCCACCCTCATCCCCTTTCCACCCCAAGGTACATTTTGGGAAGCCAGATGACCGACACAGGAAAAAAAAAATTTCCGGCATATCCTTTATTTTTCCTGAAGATTGTCGCAGACGGTCGAGTATTTTTTTGGGTCCGTCTGGGCCTCTCCTCGGTGCGGGCGCCGTGTTCCCCGTGCTATAATCCGGCTCAGCCCGAGACATGAGGGATGGAAGGATTTTCCTTCACAATCCAGCACCTCAAAATTATTCGTGGACTCAGAATCCAGCGGGGAAATGTCTTCTTCCTCGACGAAAAGGTAGTCGCGTTTCAAG